AAAAAAAATCAAGCTGAAATGAGAATTTTGGCTTATTGATTCACTTGAATTTTTAATGAAAATCTCACAATCGAAATTAGTGTAAAATTTAAAATTATCTCACAGGATTATTGAGTTTAAAAGAACAAATTTCTTGTCACTAACTAGTGACTATCATTTTTCTTAATCTCTCTATTAACTTGGATAAAAATTATGAGAGGATTTTTTTTATAAATTATATAGTATATATTTGAAATCATTAAGTTCATTTTTAAATTGATATTATAAATAAAGTTTAAATTTTATTAGTTTTAAAATAAAAATATTATTTTAATTTTATTTTAATATATATTTTATATTAAAAATCTGGTATAACTTTAATTTTATTAATTTATCCGCTTAAGCACAGTGCTCAACCTCCTGGAATTGCTTGAACCGCTTAGTTTGAGTTAGAAATTTCCTTCTTTCAAGGTCGGCTCATTTCTCCCACCACTCCTAAACCCTAACCCTAACGATGGGAAAGCCACGAGTGACATCGACGAAGGGCCGGAAAAACAATCGAAGTGATAATAATATCGAGAAGGTAAAAAGCATTCAAGCGGGGTTGAAAAGGAAGAAGCAGCAGCAGAATCTATCTAACCCACCGGAACCGGAAGACAATGACCCCAGCGACCACAGCGCCGGAAGTGATCCCAGCGACCTCAGCGCCGGCAGTGACCCCAGCGACCAGAGCGAAGAGGAGGAAGAAAAGCCCACTCCCGAGGATATCCAGCGCCTTCTTGAGCCGTACACGAAGGAACAGCTCATCACCTTACTCGCCAACTCCGCTGCCGACGATCCCAGCCTCCTCTCCCACATCCGGTCAGTAGCCGAACATGACATCGCCCACCGCAACATATTCGTCCATCGCTTTGGCTATGACGTTACTTCAGAAACCCTGCACGAGGTCTTCCGCCATTACGGCCCTCTCGTTGACTGCCATGTCATATTTGACAACGCTACCGGTCGCAACAAGGGTTATGGGTTCGTCGTCTTTTCCACTCGCAGTGGCGCTGTTAAGGCTCTCAAACAGCCCGAGAAGAAGATTGGAGCTCGCATGGCCTTATGTCAGCTAGCCGCAATTCGCCATGATTCACCTGCAAGCAGCTCCACAGATTTGGCCCAGCGGAGGGTTTATGTGAGCAATGTCCCCGCTGACGCATCCCACGACAAGCTCAAAGCTTACTTTGCTACTTTTGGAGAAATAGAGATTGGCCCTTCGGGTTCTGATACGCTGACTGGAAAGTGGAATGGTTTCGCTATTTTCGTTTACAAGACACGGGATGGGGCAAACAGGGCCCTGCAGGAGCCATACAAGAACTTTGAGGGGCGTCAGCTGTATTGTAAGCTAGTTGGTGATCTTTCACAAAAGGGAAAATTACCTGCTAATCCCGTGCCACCTCAAAGCCTGCCTGTAGTCAATCAGCAGCCATCACTAAATGCTGTGGCTGAAGCACAGAATGCGGCTATGCTCGGCCATAATCCAGCCTACAACATGTTGGTTCAGAACCAACTTCTTACAAATACAGCTTTGAATCCAAATTCCTTTGCTGCATTGAATCCTGCTGCCTTGGCCGCATTTAATCCCACTGCTAATTTGGTTATACCTCCGGGACAGGGTTATGGGGCACACGGTTATGGAGAACAGGGTCATGGGAGTGTTGGAGTTGGCTTGGGAGGTTATAACGTGTTTGAGAATTTTAGGACACAAGAAAGTGCCGGTTTATCTTATAGAGGATCTCAATTGGGGCAATCATTTTCACTGACACCAGCAACTGGCTTTTTTAGGGGCTTCCCTCAGTAGTATGGTAACAGATTTTGAAAATTTATGAATCTTATTGTTTTTATACTTTAACTTACATTTTCCTAGCTATTCATCCTTTTGATTATTACATCTCTTTTGATGATACTAATTTGATTTTATGATTTTTTGTGTTATGTTTTTCTTGATTTGATATTTTAGTTTAATATAACATAACAACAACATCAAGCCTTTATCCCACTACGTGGGGAAATATTTTAGTTTAATATATGATACAAAATTTCAATTTTGTTATGCCTTTATTTTTGTGTCGAGGATGTTTAATGTTAACTTCATGGGCTTGCATTTTGGTGTACACTTTACTTTTCAATCTAGTGCAATGTTTATTCCGACACTGTCTATTAATTCTTGCTATGTTTATGTGCCATCTTTTGTTTTATGGTTGACAAATACATCTAGCTTATTATCTCTAGCTATTCTTTAGTTATTACACTGGAGTGAAAGAAAGAGAAAAGCTTTATTTAATCCCAGTGGGGTAAACCAGAATTTTTTGTTGGCTAGACTGTGGTTGAGATTATCCATTCTATTGAGTTCATTTTTATCACAATTGCTTGGCATGGACTTCAACTTACTAAATTTCCAAATGTTGTAGAAGAACATTTAGCCTCATAACAAAGTTGTCTGTATCCAAAGGTTTTTTGTGACAATTTGTTTGGTAATTTGTGCATTTTGAATGGTATGTTGAACCGTGTGCTTAATATCGTATTTGGTGGAAAATCTTGGAATAATGAACCATGGACCATCGTTAATATGTTTTTGTGTGTATATTAAAATTTTCTTGGAAAGATCAGTTTATAATGGGAGTTTACTATTATTCAAGAGATAAATGAAACATAATTTCTTCAGTATATGAAGATGTTTTAGCAAATCAAGGTTTTTTTTTTTAGCTGACAACTAGCAAATCAAGGTTATATCTGACCTTTCTTGTAAACTAGAAGCAAAATGACTGTTGCCTTGGAATTTGACCGATGAATTTAATGTATGTTAGAAGCTAGCGGTTAATACAGGTATGAATATTCGGGAAAATATAGTTTTAGATCAATTACTCTTTTTTATTTTGCTTTAACTTCAGAAATGATCAGTTAGCGGATGATATTAGAAAGGCAATGGGCCCCTCATTTCTTGCAGGTGTCTGTGGCATTAGATATACTCAAGTTGGAAATGTTGGAACCTGATGAATGTCAAGTTAATTACTTAATTGATTTTTTATATCATTAATATTTTCATTCTGTTGAATGCATGATTTTTGCTGTTTTGTGGTGCTTATTTTTAAAATTATTTTCTTAAAAATTTAATTTCATTGAATTCTTTGTTTAATTAGAAAATATGAACTTTGTATTGATTTTTGGCTGGCTTTTGGCTCATTTTATATGCTAGTTAAATTTGATCTGCCTCATTATAATGTTTACGTGCAAAACGGAAGTTGTTATAACTTTCTATGCAACACAATTCTTAGTGGAGCAAAAGATAAGGTGACAAATGATCTAACTTGAAAAGTTTTTTTTTGGGTTCTATTAACCAAAATTTTAGTATTAGTGTGTCATCAATATTATAACCCCCCTTAAATTTGATGCAAGAAAATAAGCTTATCAGGTGTGCGAGTGACAGTTGTTCTATTTTCTGATCTTCCAACCATGACAAACCCTTTCTCCGCTCATCATATTGAGATTGATTAATACAATTTTCCACCATTAGAAGTTTAGAACCCTCCCTTTCTTCTTTTCCTCATATTCTCCTTCTTTCTCTTTTCAGACTTTGTACATAGGCCTTGTTTGTGGCACCTACCTACTTTAGTTGTGGTGGTGGGTGATGAGGACATCAAATTTCGACACGTGTACCATCGCCAGAGACGCAGATCGACGGCTACGATCCAGAGCCTCTATTTTTGATTTATTTTGCATTTTATTTATGCTTGTATTTCTTTTCCTATTTTGCCCCTGTGGGTATTGAGTCACTTATGTAGCCCTGAGGGCATTTGTGTCATTTCCATTTTATTTTATTTTGACCCCTTATAAGAGGCCTCATGTCATGCAAGAGGAGTTAGTTGTTGAATGAAAATTTTTATCTTATTGTTTTCTTTGTGAGTTCTCAAAGCTTCTCTAGATCTCTTTGTGAGCCATTAGATCTTTTTGTGAGTTCTATTGGTTGAAGGAGTAAGGTTCGTACTTCCTAATCATCTTATCTTTCTCCTCCAACCACTTCCCCTTCCACCTCAAGAGAAGACCACATAAAGCTCTTGGCCTGAAGAACCTGACCCCAGCCCCCTTTACCGCCGCCCCTTGGAGCTCTTGCTGTCGGTTGTTTTCACACCACCGGCCGGCCACCTTGCCACCGGCCTCCCGTCATACACCCACCACCTCTCTCTCCGCTAGCTTTCAAATTTGAAATTTGAATTTCAAATTTCAGATTCCTTCCAAATTAGGGAATCCATTTTAGGAAAGTTTTTATGTTGAATTCTATTTCAAATTAAATATAATTGGATTTCATAAATCTTCTTTCCTAGTTATCACCACCTAATTGGAAACTCCCCCTCATCCTCCCCAATCCCCTCCTCCTCATTGATGCCGCCGGCCTTTAATTGGCTCTCCCCATTGAATGAGTATTAACCCTCTCTCTTTATTTGGAATCCAAATTTGATTTCAAATAATTTCTTTCCCAACTCTCTAAAACTGAAATTAATTTCAGTTTTTAGAATAAAACCCCAATCCCCTCTCTCTCTCTATACCGTCGGCCTCCCCTTCCTTGGCTCCCCCACATTACTCCTCCATCAAGGCATTAATTGTACTCCATTTGAAATCAAATTTCAAATTGCTTCCCTCCCAAATTAATCTAAATATGAGAATAATTTCAGATTTAGAGGCAATCCCATCCACCCCAACCAAATCTAGTTCCACCAAGAACCCTAGCTTCTCCCCTCCACCTCTCCAAACCGGCCACCACCTCTCATCTCTTGGGTTTCTCATTGTGCTCTATCCTCTACATGCAAATGATGCATGGCGGATCCCGAAGTTGATAGCGGATTCATACTCGACGCCCACGGAGACATCCACATCACTCGATCCCCATTCTTCGACGTCGGATTTGGTTTTGATGACACCGCTGAAGATTACTTGAACCGGATCCTCCCCCATCTCGTGGACATCCTCGACGATCAATTCTCGGACTACGAGTGGGCCATCAACGGCCATCCACCTGCTTCTCCAACTCCCACTTCTTCCCCGGCGACGAGTCCTCTTGGCATTTCGTGTAATAGTGGTGTATCTCTAAGTTTTTTTATGATCCTCTTTCGCTAACCGCCACGTTCAAGAGTTGATTAAAGGATCTCAAGGTGAAGGATCTATATTTTAAACGTGAGGCCTTGTTTATCATGGCTATTTGCATTATTAGATTTCTTTTGGTTATTCTTTTGCAAAGCTCTTGTAATCTCCAAGTGTAATCGAATGCTATGGCTTAATTTTTCATGACATCTTCTTGAATCTCTATTTGAGTACGCTAAACTTTATGGTTAGTATGCAAATTTAATAACTTTTATTAATCTCTTGATTGGCAATTCTTGTATTCACTTGGTATCACATCAGTGGGTCTCTTGTATCGCCCCTGTGGTGGGTTGTCACCAATCCACTATGGAAAAGCTACATAATGATGCTTCTTCCGTATCACCCAACCTGGTGTTTTTGAGTAAGTGTAGGGGAGCGGCTGTTGCTTTCCACATAAGGTCAAATGCTCTACATAAGATGCTAGACTCAATTTGTTGCTGTTTTCTGTACATATGTTAGTACCATATTTCTCCCCTCCATTAAACAGCATACACTACCATTGCAAACTTTTTTATCTCCTAGAATCCTCCTCTTTAAAACATGGGCTCCTTTCCTCCACCCTCTCTCCTTTTGTTGCTTCCGAAGCAAGGGAAAAAAACTATAGCAAAACCACTACTTTTTACCTTCTAGAAACTTGTCAGCACCGCACAATGTCTTGTCTATATCTATTTTCATTTCTTTTTCTTGTTTCTTGAACATATGTTAAAGACATGAGAAATATGGTAGCATGACTGTATAATTTTGTTTTGTTTCCTTTAACCATGAAGCTTATTTCTATAAATTTGAATGTGCACCTAATATTGTATCGACCTGTTTCATAAAGTTAGGGGTCTTTTCTAAAAGCATGAATTGTGCAGGTGGACCCAAATAAGATTGAATTTTATAAAAAATGAAAAATAAAATAAAGCAATGATACAACTAATCCTATTTAGTTCAATCAAGTAGATTTTTATGTGCTTTGATAATTATAATTCCTTTTATATAATTTATATTATGTATGCTTGGCCTATGCATAGACATCTGCCTTTAAAGAATGATAGGAAAGTCATTTATTGAAGTATAATAGATATACAAAAAATACAAGAAGTGAAAAGACGATGGCAAGATTCATATTGGTGATAAATTGTGATGATTTATGTAATAGGTTTGATTCAATGACATGATCAAGATTTGCAAAAATAAATCAGGCATATGAAGATGATATAATATGTCTTATTATATTAAGCGTACAAACAGTAAATGTAATACAATTTATTTGATGATGAGATGTTCATGATAATGGATTTTTTTTTTTTGCAAAACAATTAGATATTTCTTCGAAGGGGCAAAATGTACGTCAAGGCTTGTTAGATGAGCATAAAAATGACGTTTAGTCAACTTTAAAGAAGATTCATAAAAGTTAAACTAGAGGCCTAGAAAAGATGCCTATTAAGATTTGGAGTTTTGTGAGTAAGACGTCAAATGATTTAACAAACATTTTTACCCATTTATTGAGACAAAAAAGGGTATTTAAGATTGTGGTGATTACATAGAAATTAAGAATGTGTGCTATTTCATTGAAACTATGTGAGAGAGTTGTCCAATGATGGCCAAGTAAAAGTATGGAAGCGATTATTATATTGAGCCAGTTAATTGAAAAGTTATAGACATCATTGAAAGAGATCATATA